TTCTTCTTCTTCTTCTTCTTCTTCTTCTTCTTCTTCTTCTTCTTCTTTTTAACTTTTATTTGCTATTTAAAAATTTTAAGAGTCCTGAGAGAAGGCCAGGATTTTAAAAACTTCAAAAGATGTCAAGAAAACCAGTGATTGAGTGGGGGAAGGAAATAAGTAGAGAGAGGAAAAAAAAGAAAAGGTAGCAGGGAAAAAGAAAAAGAACAAAAGAAGATAAAGAATTAAAATATGATCAATGAAAGAGGGCCAGAAGGGAATTGTAGACAGTGAAACAAGGACATCTAAGCAGGACTTTCGTTGCGGGGAAATGAAGAGTGAATTCTCTTCGGTGCCCTAGTCCTTGCTACTCGGGTCCCACAAAGACCTTGATTCAAGTTGAAGACCCCATCGGGCTTGGTAGAAATGCAGGGCTTCAGGCTCTACACCAGATCCGCCGACGTTCTGAGACTCTCTGTTATTCATGTGCGTGCCGATGTTTAAAAAGTACGACGATTAGGTCAATTTCTAACTGAGACTCTATAGACCGGGGAACGAGCTAACTCAGCGTGGCCTGGCAACTGCGCGCATTCCCAGACCCCACCCTGGACTTAGTGACTCAGAACCTCTGAGGGTGAACCCAGCAATGCATGCTCCAACAAGTCCTCCAGTAATTCTGTTGTCCGCTCAAGTTTGAGAAATATTGCTGCAGATTTAAGCAAACCTGAACAGAACACAACTGGATTGGATTGTGGTTGATCAGGTACATGACGGCTTTAACACCCCAAATGTGTGGGGTAACATTCGTTATTCCTTCCCCCCTCATTATTTATTTTATTCCCTTTACATTCTTGTAGCCCCATCTCTCCTCCCCTCCCAGTCTCACCCTCTCTCCCACTCTCCACTACCCTTTTCCTCAGAAAAGGGGAGCTCCCTTTCCCATCCTTCCCAAGCTCACCAAGTTGCATCAGGACTGAATGTGTCCTCTTCCCCTGTGGCCTGTCAAGGCGGTCCCTCCAGGGGAAAGTGATCTAAAAGCTACCAAGTGAGTCTGTGTCCGATGCAGTCCCCACTTCCCTTACTAGAGCACCCACTTAAAGCCTAAGCTGTCCATCTGCTACATCTTTATGGGGGGCCTAGGTCCAGTTCCTGCATGGTCCTTGATTGATGCTTCAGTCTCAGCAAACCCTTCTGGGCCCCGGTTAGTTGGCTCTGTTGTTTTTCTTGTGGAGCTTCTGTCACTGCCGGGTCCTTTTCTCTTTCCTCCCACTATTCTCCAAGACTCTTTGTGCATTGCCCAAATGTTTGGCTGTGAGTCTAGGCATTGTTTTGAGGCGCTGCTGGGTAGAGCCTCTCAGAGGACAATTCTAACAGGCTCCTGTCTGCAATCTTAGTAGAGTATCATTCATAGTGTCAGGAATTGGCACTCTCCGAGAGGGTAGGACTTTGGTTGGGCCAGGAATCTGTTGGGCGTTCCCTCAATCTCTGCTGTATCTGCTCTATCTTTATTCCTGCACATAGGCAGGGTAAACTTTGGGTCAAAATTTTTGTGGATGAGTTGGTGTTCCCTGCCCTTCACTAGAAGACTAGTCTACTCTGTGGTCTCTGCGACCAGGAGTCTCTGCTTGAATC